CTAGGTCAGCCTTCACAAGGCATCAATCCCAAACATGCAGGATAGAAGATGGATGATATGGGGGTTGAGAGCAGCCCAAAAGAGGAGGACTGTGGATGTTGGATGAAGAATTGGATATGCCCCAGCCATGTGCACTCATTGACCAGAAACTCCTCCTGTGTCCTGGGCTCATCCCCACAGCTTGGGAAGCACAAGAGATTGGGGGAATCTCACCCTCTGCTCTCCTGTAGTAAAATCAGAATTCTGTGTTGAACTCTGAGCCCACAAAGACAAGGAAGACGTGGACCTGCTTGAGTGGATGGAGGCCTGGAAGAGGATGAGAGTCAGCCAGGTTGGTGTCCAGCCAAAGGGACACAGAACCTGGAGGATGATGAGGAGCTTGTGCCAGAGGCAGGGATAGATCTGCATTAGCGTATCCAAGCCTGTGATCCAGTAGATGAAGGTTTGATGGAATGCACTGGAAGAGGGAAGTGTGCCAATGGGTAGAGAATTGGGGAAGTAACACGTGAAAGAGATCTTGGAGCACATTTTCACCCACCCCAGTGGTCTCTACAACCCTGGTACAGCACTGAGAAGGGATTGGAAGCATCTTGGGAGAAAAAAGAAGATGGACTCATTTGAAGTTATGATGCAGGAAAACTTTATTGAGGTAGAAGAGTAAAAACTCAGGAGCAGCCAGAGGAAGGGAACTGGTCTGAGGTGCAAGCAGAGCAACCATCAGCCAAGCTGCTTTGCTTGCAGGAGGTTGTGCCAGACTTTCTGCCTTACAGAGGGACCAGCCAGGCAGAGTTGCCCAATGGTCTCTGGGTAGGGAGAAGGGGTTTGCAGCAGAGGAGACAGCACATAGACAAAGGGGTGATGCAGAGCAGCGAATGGAGGAAGAGCAGGAGGCAGATGGGCCATGTTTGCAGGCAGCCTGGGCTGGCCATTGGCTTCTGCCTCGTTGGTGCCCTGGGAGCAGGAGCTGGAAATGCTGAGACTGTTTGAGAGCCTTGGCCCAGAGATGCATCATCAATGCCTGAGATGAGTTCCAAGGAGTGGGTGCTTGGTGTCAGGGGTGGTGCTGAGGGCCCTTAGCAGATGTTTCCATAGCCCCTTCTGCCATAGCAGCCCAGGCCTCCCAGCCCATAGCCAAATCCACGGCCATAGCCAAAGCCACCAAATCCGCCAGAGATGGGCTGTCCCTGCACACTGAGCTCAGTGCCCAGAGCAGCGGAGGAGGTGGATCCGACGGCGGTGTTCTGGGGGAAGGAGGTCATGATGGGTCCTGGCAGGGTGACCAGCACAGGGGAAGGGTTGATGATGACACGGGAATCCTGGCATTGCAGGGCACAGGGCTCGTTGCAGCTGTTGGCCAGCGGGGTGGGTCCGCAGGGAGTGCAGCGGTTGTAGCAGGCCATGGGTGTGGTGTGGAGGGTGCCTGGAAGAGAGGGGGGTGAGGCAGGGCAGGGGTGTGGGTGTGCGAGGGGTGGTGAAGCAGAACCGCGAGGGAGAGTGTGGAGGCTGTTGTGGGGCTATGGGGAGGTGTGAGGGCAGCCGAGGCTGGGGCTGAGCATGATGGAAGAGAGAGGTGAGAGGTGCAGGAGCAGGAGAGTAGGGGGATTGAGTCTCACCTGGTTGTCAGCAGGAGAAGGAGGAGAAGGCTTGAGGAGAAGTGTGTGAGTGTGAGAGGCTCTGGGCTGGCTTTTATGCTGGTCCTGGAGGGGTGGGACAGCCTTGTCCCATGGCCGTGGGGCATTCACCAGCCAACAGCTCTTGCCTGGCCTGGTGAGTCATGAGGTGGGGAGTGTTTTCGTTCCCACAACACTTCAGTGTCATACCCAGCTCTTGAGGCCATGTCCATCTGACTTTGTCGGCAGCTTTAGGAGATGGCATTTGGGTGGATTTGATTATTAGATGTGGGTCAGGAAGGGCTGAATAAACAACTAGAGCCCCACAGAAATGCGATGTCATCAGTGAGGTCATTTTGTGGCACTCATGTCCTGTGGTTTGTGGGTGCCTTGTGAAGACTGGGACTCTGTTCTGTGCCACTGGGTGTCCATCAGCCATTGTGTTGCACCCAGGAATGCTGAGGGAGCTGCTGATGCCCTGGGAAGGTCACTGAGCAATATCCTGGAACGGTTCTGGTGCCTGGGAGCTCCTCCTGATTTCTGAAATAGATTTTGTTCTCTTCTGTCTTCTATGTGAGCAAGAAGGAGAATCTGGAAAATGAGAAGCTGCTTAGGCAGAACGTGTTCCATTGTTATGGTCCATTTGGATTTCTGTAATTAACTCAACCAAGTACACTGTCTAAATTAAAGTGTATTCCTTGGCCACATTAAGAAATCCCATAAATAAAAACAAAGCAGGCTTGATCTCTTTTTTCCCAAACTGATCTGTGACATCAATTCACTTATTCCGCATTCAAGCCACAAGGTTTCATAACTTACAATAATTAGTCGTAATGTTTTGTTCCTGTAAGCAAAACCCAATAATTAGTAATGGACACCCAGCAAGCTCCTCTTTCCTTCTTTGCATGGTTTGGTTGTTCCTCTGTGGAATTGTGCAATTTCATGTTCTGCTCCTGAGGCCATCTCCACCTGACCTTGGTGATACATTTTAGCTGCGAGAATTAGAGAGCAAGGTGTTGGTGTTGATGTTGCATGCCAGGACACGTAGAAGATTCAAGCAAAGCTTACAAGCACTGGGGTGTCGTCAGTGAGGGCATTCCATGGCATATTGACAATGTGTCCCATTTGCATTCTTGCCTCCTGCCTGGCGGAGCTCCCAGCTCTCTCAGCTTCTCCTCATCTCAAGGATCCTCCACTCCCATCAGTGTCATGGTGGCCCTACACTGCTCTTGGTCAACCATGGTTGTGTCCATGTAACCTCACCTGTGTTGGGGATCAGGGTGTTCGATTCCCTCAACATGCTTTTTTTCTGTTCCTAATCCTGTCCTGGAAACTGCTGGAGATTTTTTTTACCATAAAGAGTAGATGATGACCTCAAGATCCATCTATGCTCCACCAGGAACAGAAGGTCCCTCCCTGATAGAATGCTTTGGGTGCCAAGGAAAGGGCAACTGGTGTCATTCTGAACTTCTGTCTTTATCACTGTCCTACATAGCATCTTTATCACTGAACTGCAGACAGGTGGGTTTCAAAGGAGGTCTAATGACTGGATGAGGAACAGACAGAGAGTGATGCTCAGTGGCTCTATGTACAGGTAGAGGCCAGTGATGAGGCCTCCAGGCCTCTGCCTTGGACAGTCATTTTGGTGATTTTGAATATTTTATCAAGGAGGTGAGTAGTGTGATTGAGACCACCCCCAGCATGTTTGCAGGTGCCACAAAGCTGAGTGTTACAGTTGACACAAGAACATGGGGGGATCCCATCAGGATGGAAACTGGGAATGTTGAGAACATTAGAACCTCTTGTGGTTCAACAGCTCCAAGTTCAAGGTCCTGTACATGGGTTGGGACAGTCCCAGACATGAGCACAGCTTTGGAGAGGGAATCCTTGAGAGCACTTCCACTACAGAATGATCTGAGGGTTCTGGTGGACTAAAATCTTTAAAAAAAAACAGCAATGAGAATTTTCAGCTCAGGCCACCAGACATTTCCTGTGCTGCACAGAAAGAAGTGTAGCCAGCAGGAATGGTTGGGGGTTAATTGGAGACGTGAGAATGTCATTGTTGCCACCAACAGGTGAGAAAATATGCACGAAAAGAGGGACACCAATAGAGACCAAAATGTTCAAGAGATCACCATGCTTCCTTGCAGCAAAAGAACTTCTGGAAGAAGATTTCTAGAAGATTGATAATTCCTGTTTCTTCAGAGATAAAGATATCTGATTTAGGGTGGTGTGTTGAGCTTCACAGTGGAAGGAAGACGTGGACTCAGTGAGGCAAGAAGAGTCAGGAACAGTAAGAGGTTCAGGGGACCAAAGAATCCTTGTGATTAGAAATGGGAGACACACAAGGTTTATTTTTGTGAGAAGGGAAGAATGGACAAAGGAGATGTTGTGAGTGTTTCATGGAATGACCTCAATCATAACACCCCAATTCTTGTAGGATTTGTTGTCATCTTCTACGTGCCTGATACCAACCAATAATACCATATTCCAATACCAATACTTCGGCCTCTACTCCTCAAAATTAAAAACTGCCGCAAAGGTCAAATGGACGCAGCCTGTAGAGAAGGACACAGAATCGCAGAATTCCATAAAGACACGCCAGCACCATGACAGGAGGAAATAGGGTCACAATGACCATCCAGTAGCAATTAGTGTTTGTTCCTAACAGGAACACAACATTACATCTGACAGGATATGAGTTATGAAACCATAGGACTTGAATGTAGAATAAACAAATTCACACCAGAGAGCAGCCTGGGCAAAACCTGGTCTAGCATCATTGGTTGCTTGTTTATTTGGTTTCTTAAAGAGGTAAAGAAATACACTTTAAATGACAGAGTATATTTCCAGGTAAAGTTGAGAAATCCAAATGGACCACAGCATTGGAACAAGTTCAACCTATCGTGGCTTTAATTTCCAGATCCTTTCTCTTGATCCTAGAAAAGAAAAAACTGCATGGGGTTCCTTTCATCCATCAAGAAGAGCTCCCAGGCACTGGGACCTTTCCAAGCTCTTGTAGAGTGACCTCCCCAGGACATCAGCAGCTCCCTCAGCACTCCTGAGTGCAACACAATGACTGATGGACACCCAGTAGAACAGAACAGAGTCCCAGTCTTCACAAGGCATCTGCAAACCACAGGACATGTGCCACAAAATGACCTCACTGATGACATGGCATTTCTGCAGGGCTCTGGTTGTTTATTCAGCCCTCCCTGACTCACATGGAGCACTCAAATCTGCCTAAATACAAATGCAATGAAGTTGCTGCCAAGGTCAGATGGAAATGGTTTCAAGAGCAGGGCATGGAATTGCAAAACTACATGAAGGAAAACACTCCCCACCTCATGACTCCCCAAACTGAGCCCGACGAGAGCTGCTACCTGCAAAATGCCCCAAGGCCGTGGGACAAGGCTGACCCGCCCATCCAGGACCAGCATAAAAGCCAGCCCAGATCCTCTCACACTCACACACTTCTCCTCACACCTTCTTCTCCTGGTGACAACAAGGTGAGCCTCAATCCCCTGACCCTCCTGCTCTGGCACCCTTGAACCCTCTCTTCCAGCACACTCTGCCCCAACCTCAGCAGCCCTCACGCCTCCTCACAGCCCCACAACAGCCTCGGCACTCTCTCACCCTCCTGAATCGCTGTCCCTTGCATCCCCACACCCCTGCCGTGCCTCACCCTCTCTCTTCCAGGCACCCTCCACAACACACCCATGGCCTGCAACAGCCTCTGCCGTCCCTGTGGACCCACCCCGCTGGCCAACAGCTGCAACGAGCCCTGTGCCCTGCAATGCCAGGATTCCCGCGTCATCATTGACCCTTCCCCCGTGCTGATCACCCTGCCAGGACCCATCATGACCTCCTTCCCCCAGAACACCGCCGTCGGATCCACCTCCTCGGCTGCCGTGGGCACTGAGCTCAGTGTGCAGGGACAGCCCATCTCTGGCGGATTTGGTGGCTTTGGTGGCTTTGGCCTTGGCTATGGCCGTGGATTTGGCTATGGGCTGGATGGCCTGGGCTGCTATGGCAGAAGGGGCTATGGCAACATCTGCTAAGGGGCCAGCTGGGCTGCCTGCAAACATGGCCCATCAGCCTCCTGTTCTCCCACTCCCTGCTCTTCATTGGTCCTTTGGCTCTGTTCAGTTCCCTCTGCTGCAAACCCCTTCTCCCAAGCCAGACATCAGTGGGCTCCTCTGGTGGGCTCCTCCCACTGTGGGGAAGAATGTTCTTGGTGCTCTGGAGAAACCTCCTGTGGGCAAAGGACCTTGGCTGATGGTCACTCTACTTGCACCTCAGCCTGTTCCTTTCTACTGGATGCTCAGGACATTTTATTCTTCTACCTCAATAAAGTTTTCCTTCATCATAACCTCATATGAATCCTCCTTCGTTCTTCCCCCAAGATTTTTTCAGTCTCAGCAATATCCCAGGGTTTTAGAGATCACTGGGTTTAGAAATTTTAACAAGAGATCTTTTAGGATTTATTTCCCCGCTTCAACCACTCACTGGCATGCTTTGCTCTTCTACTGCATCCCACAAACCCTTCTGTTTCTAGAACACAGTCCTGGATATGCTAATGCACGCCTATCCCTGCTGCTGGCACAAGCCCCTCTAGGTGGTGTGCTCCCTTTGGGTGGACACCAGTTGCTCCAGCCCCTCATCATCTCCTCAGCCCAGTAAGACATCTGCTCAAGCACGTCCATATCTTTCTTATCATGGCTATGCATCCTTGCAGCAAAAGAACTTTCAGAAAAGCATTTCTAGCAGACTGACACTTCCTGTCTCCACACTGATAAGGATACGGATAAGGATACCTGATTTGGGGTGATGAGCTGGGCTTTACAGTAGAAGAAAGACACAGACTTAAAGAAGCAAGAACAGTGCAGGAACAGCAAGAGCTTGAAGGGACCAAAGAATTCTTGTTGTGATTAGAAATGGGAGACATGCAAGGATGATTTATTGTAGGGGTCCTACAGTTGAACAAACAACTCCAGTCTCGCCAGAGATGAGTAGAGGCAATGACTCCCCTGCTCATCTGCTGCCCACACTATGGGGATGAGCACAGGACACAGCGGATTTCTGGTCTGTGAGTGCACATGGTCAGGGCATGTCCAATTTTTCATTCACTCACACCTCAAATCCTTCCCTTTTGGGACTGCTCTCAATCCTCTCATGACCCAGCCTTTATCCTGCATGTTTGGGACTGCTCTAATCCAGGTGCCGCAGATTCTGTCCCACTGCTCCTCTCTGGTGGTATTGGAGAACTCTTAATCTATGGGTTACTGAGAATAAAGAGGACAAGATTCTGGTTTAGAGGATCCAAAGCACAGCCTTGAGGACAATCTATGGCTGGAGGTTTGGGACAGCCTTGGCTGGTTTTCCCGGGGCATTTTTTCAGGAAGAAGATTTTGCCTGGCACAGCCTGGCAAATCTTAAGGTGGGAGGATTTTTCTTCCCCCATCTGTGCATTGCCACGTCCTGCTTTTGAGGCTGTGCCCATGTGACCATGGCAGAAGATTTGATGAGTTGGTTTTGGTTGCAGCACTGCTGGATGAGGGAAGAGGGACCAATAGCATGTACCAGGGCCTGAGTACAGTCTTTGTTCCTTTGACAGAAAACATCCTTGTCTCTGATCTGGAGAGATGTGGATGTTGGTTGGACCATTTTGGTTAAGATGGAAATGGGTGGGATGGTTGCACAGAAAGAGTTATGAAAGAGTAAAGGGCTCAATGTGTGTGTGTGGAGAACAGGGATGAGTGGTGACCCTCAGAGACTCGTGTTCAATCATTCTCACTTCCCATTTTTGTCAGGGACATGGAGAGTGCAATTGAGTGTCCCATCAGCAAAAAATGTGAATAACAGCAGGATGAGTGGTATGCTTGATTGTCTCGAGGGAGGGAATGGCATCCAGAGTGTTCCAGACAGCCTGGAGATATGGGCGTGAAGCTCGTGAAGGTCAGCAGGGCCAAGAGGAAGGTCCTGCAACTGGATTGGATTGATCTCAGTAATGGGTGTTGGATGGATAATGAGTTAATTAACAGCATCCCTGAGGAGAAGGACTTACACACTTACACACCGATATATATAAACTAAATTACTCTGAAATTCTAAAAATAACTATAAACTAATAAAAAATTAAAAACTTTTATCTCAATAATAAAACAAACCAAAAAAACCCCACACACTAAAAAAACACCACCATATAATCAACTACCAAAAAAACCCCACAATACACTTTTTACTAATAATTCTTTACATATTATAAAACTAAATTTAAAAAATAACCATATAATACCTCATTCAACAAATAACAAAAACCACTATGAAAACAAATCAAACCAGCTTACTAAACTCAAAAGTTTTCAACTAACCCTAAGCTTTACTGAAAAAAAAACCCTAAAGCTCTACCACTACAATAATGAATAAATAATAACCAATACACTATAAAAACAACAAAAAAAAAAAAAACCAACCACCTGAATGATGAAGAATTGGACATGTCCTGGCAATGTGAATGAACTCAGCAAAAATCCCCCATGCCCTGGGGTTATCCCCACAGTGAGGGCAGCACATTCTGACCCTCTGCTGCACTCTGAGGAGAATGGACTTGTGTGTTCCACTCTGAGGACACAAAAAAAGGGAAGACATGGACCTCCTCCAGAAGATCTGTAAATGGCCTTGGGAGATGATGAGGGTCTGGAGGAACTGGTGTCCAGCCAAAGTGAGCACCACAGCCTGGAGAGCCTTGTGTCAGAGTCACGGATGGACCTGCACTGGGGGATCCAGGCATGTGTTCAAGCAACTGAAGAGTTGCTGTGGTGCACTGGAAGAACAAAGTGTACTGGTGGGTAGTGGAATTGGGGAAATAATTCCTACAAGAGCTCTTGGAGCACTTTTTCAGCAATCCCAATAGCATCAACAACAGTGGCTTAATCTCAAAGTGTCTAGGGAGAGGAATGAAGAAGGAGTCTTTTGAGGTTATGATGCAGGAAAACTTTATTGAGGTAGAACAGTGAACACTCAGGAGCAGCTAGTGGAAGGGAGCTGGTCTGGGGTGCAAGTAGGGCGACCATCAGCTGAGGCCCCTTGCTTGCAGATGGTTTGGCCACAGCACCAAGGGCTTCCTGCCCCACAGTGGGAGCAGCCAGAGGTGCCCAATGGTCTCTGGCTTGGGAGAAGGGGTTTGCAGCAGAGGAGCTGGAGAGAGCCAAGGGGTGATGCAGAGCACAGAGAGGCAGAAGTGGAGGAGGCAGATGGGCCATGTTTGCAGGCAGCTCAGGCTGGGCCCTTGGCTGCTGCCTTGCTTGGTGCCCTGAGAGCAGAAGCTGGAATTGCTGAGCCTGTTTGGGAGCCTTGTCCCAGAGATGCGTCTTCAGTGCCTGAGATGAGTTCCATGGAGTGGGTGGTTGGTGTCAGGGGTGGTGCTGAGGGCCCTTAGCAGATGTTGCCATAGCCCCTTCTGCCATAGCAGCCCAGGCCTCCCAGCCCGTAGCCAAATCCACGGCCATAGCCAAGGCCAAAGCCACCAAAGCCACCAAATCCGCCAGAGATGGGCTGTCCCTGCACACTGAGCTCAGTGCCCACGGCAGCCGAGGAGGTGGATCCGACAGCGGTGCTCTGGGGGAAGGAGGTCATGATGGGTCCTGGCAGGGTGACCAGCACAGGGGAAGGGTTGATGATGACACGGGAATCCTGGCATTGCAGGGCACAGGGCTCGTTGCAGCTGTTGGCCAGCGGGGTGGGTCCGCAGGGACGGCAGAGGCTGTTGCAGGCCATGGGTGTGGTGTGGAGGGTGCCTGGAAGAGAGAGAGATAAAGCAGGGCATAGATGCGGGGAATGAGAGGGGCAGTGATGCAGGAGGATATGTGACTGTGGAGGTTGTTGTGGGTCTGTGGGGAGGCGTGAGGGCTGCTCAGGCTGGGGCTGAGTGTGCTGGAAGAGAGGGCCCAGGGGTGCAGGAGCAGGAGGGTCAGGGGCTTGATTCTCACCTGGTTGTCAGCAGGAGCAGGAGGAGAAGGCTTGAGGAGAAGTGTGTGAGGGAGAGAGGCTCTGGGTCAGCTTTTATGCAGGTTCTGAAGGGGTGGGACAGCCTTGTCCCATGGCCTTGGGGCATTTTTTAGGCAGCAGCTTTTGCCTTGCTCAGCCTGGTGAGTCATGACCTGGGGAATGTTTTCCTTCCTGATGTTCTGCAGTGTCATGTCTTCTTCTTCTGTTTGTGTCCATGTGACATTGACAGTTGCTCATAATTTGAGAATTAGAGACCAGTGTGGGGTTTTTTGATGACATCTATCGAGACATGCAGAAGATTCAACCAAAGCTAAGGAGAACTGGGGAGTCATCAGTGAGGTCATGCCATATTGACAACATCTCTCATTTGCATTCTTGCCTTCTGTCCCAAGAATCTCTCAGCTCTTTCAGTTCCTCCTCGTTTTGATTATACCCCAGTATTGTCAATGTCATGGTGGCCCTGCACTGCTCTTGGTCAACCATGTCCATGTCCTTGTTCCACTCTGGAGCCCCAGCAGTGGTGGGGGACAGGAGGGTTAACTCCTTCAGCCTTATTGTACTTCTTCTTTTACATTACCTATCCTGGTAACAGCTGGAGATTTTTATTCCAAAGAGTGCATGTCCACCTCATGATCCACTTAAGCTACAGTAGGACTACAAGGACCTTCCCTTCTCGAATGCTTTGGTTGCCAAGGGAAAGGCAACTGGGGTCATCCTGATCATCTGTCAGGGTTTTTACAGAGTCCCACAGGACACCCTTGTCTCTAAGCTGCAGACGTGTGGGTTTCAAAGGAGGTCTAATGAATGGATGAGGAACAAAGAGTGATGGTCAATGGCTCTATGGACAGGTGGAGGCCAGTGACGAGGCCTCCAGGCTTGTGCCTTGGACTGGTGATTTTGAATATTTTATCAAGGAGATGAACAGTGAGATTTACAACACTTTCAGAATGTTTGCAGGTACCAGGAAGCTGAGTGTTGCAGTCGACACAAGAGCATGGAAGGATGCCATCAGGAGAGACACTGGGAATGTTGAGAACAGAAGAACCTCTTG